AAATGAATGAAAAATGGGCCATATTTTTGCTCAATTTTGCCCCCCGCCCGCCCCCAGGAACATTGTACAAGCCTCCTAAAGCCTATTCATGCCCTTTTTTAAAAATAAAAAACAGGCCCGTTTTCATGAAAACGGGCTGTTTTTGGGACATCTGCAGAGTGCAAAAACTTTTTTTAAAACTTGCCTCTTCAAAATTTTGGTGCGTCTTATACTCCGAAAATACGGTAGATTTGTTCCCTCCGTTAGAGCAGGATAAAGGAAATAATATCATTAACCTGGAATAAGAATAGTTGAATAAAATATTTCTGTTCGAACTGAGACATAGGGAAGACTGCATTTAACTTTTTTAAACTGGTGTTGTCCCTCTATATTCTGTTAGCTTAAAGCATCTTGAATACAGTTCTTTATATCTAAAAAAATATTCTGTGCAAAACAAGATTGTTATGGAAACGACCTAGTTCTAACAATAACCGTGTATCAAAAACAATAAATATAAACAGTTTGTTTTCTACAACAAAATAGCATTATTTAAGAGTTTCTTTTTTTACAATGGATGGGGGTTATTCTGTTAACCAACATGTTCCTCCCACTTGCTTTGATAAGGCTATCATTTTTTTCAGCATATCCCTATGGGAACAAAACCAGTTAATACAAGCCAAAAAAGGGCAGCTGGGCACTCCAGGTGAAAATAATAATAAAATATACAGTGGCTAAAAGCTAAATTCCCCTTCTCTCTCTTCATTATATATAGGACACTGCATAGATAATCACAGTTAATCTATAGCAGTGTTTTTCAACCTTGGCAGCTTTAAGATGTGTGGATTTCACTTTTCAGAACTTCCCAGCCAGCATGCTTCCTTCTCATATAATCCACTATCATCCACCCATCCAAATCCTAAATACAGAAGTGTTGTGTTGTTCAGGGCTAGATAAGCCTAGAACTTTGGGGAAAGGGGGGGTAGCTTTAGCCAATATGTAATTGGTATTCTATATGGCAATGTCACCAGAAAAGTATAATCTAAAACTCTACATTTTGACATTTGCTCTTTAAAGGATGAAGAATATGTTGGTACAATAGGTGAAAATAACACTGAAGAAAGAGCAAATACAGTTGATACTACAGGTTTATTGGACAGCATGCCTTTTACTTCGATGCAAGAAAATAGCAAGCTAAACAAGAAAAGTTCAAATGTTGAATGGGATCATGAGTTTGACGCCTGCCTTTTGGAAGCTTCTGAAGATGTGGAACTAATTGAAGCTACTGATATTTTTCATACCCAGAGGAACTGTACTGTGGATGAAATACCTGATGAGCTCCTAGCAGATGTTTTAAGAAATTATGAAGTAAAAGAAAGAAAGGAAAGTTACAAAAATCTTGTGGATGAAGTAAGTATCACATCATCAGATACATTTGTCAATACTGAAAACCCAGCAAAAAATTAATTTGATGATTTCTTTAAAATTACTGTGACACTATGTATATGATACATTTTGTATGTTTACTGTGGTTGATGAAGAATAAAGACAACTAGAATTTAGAAGCAACTAGGTGTAGGAAAGATAACATTTGGGATTTAGGAAAAGGATTTTATTAAATTGCCAAATATGTAAATAGTAATGCAAGTACATAAATAGTAATGTGATATATTTAGAGCTGACAAGTAGAAGCCTGTGCTCTAAGTTTTAATTTCTCAGCAACCATATTCTTTCTTATTTCTTGAAAAGCAGCATACATGTACTCAACATGCAGCTACATGTGCCTTGCCAGATGAAACATTACTGCAACTAAATAATAGCAAGATTATTTTTCTGTTGGAAAGACTACTTTCATGAAAGAATAAGTTAAAGATCACTTGTTCTCTCACACAAAGTAAATATATTAAAATACTATATTTATGATTCAATGGTCTGTTTTATTGCCTCATTATTTCTTCTTTGTCAAACAAAATATTTTTCTTTTTCTTTCAGTCAGTCATACCAGTAAGCATACCAAAAGGAATTTATGGAGTTTAGGTCACTGAAAAAAATACGATTATTTAGAGTTTTCCTACTTCAGCTTCAACTTTATATTTGAATACATTGCACATCTGATAACACAGAATTTACAGTATGAATACTTAATTGGTTTTTTGCAATTCCAAACTTTCCTGTAATTTTGTGTTGATATTTTTTAAGTGACTTTCTGCTCCTAAAATTCTTCGTGACTCCATCAGAAGTGCAGGGAGGCTGGAAATGCCATACTATGGAACAGAAAGAGAAAAACAAGACATAGTTTATAATAAGCTGGCTGATTTTGGGCCATTCTCTTTCAGCTGAAGAAGAGGGCAAGAGGAGAAACCACTTCCAAAAGGGATGCCAGGAAAACAGCATGGACTTGTGCAGGCAGTTGCCACAAGTCAAGACTGTTTTAATTTCCTCTGCTCTTGTAGTTAACAAACCATAGTCCTGACAGTTAAGATATATGGGTTTATGATTAATGCTGTTTTTGTGATGAAGGCTGATATTCTGCCCATATCCCAATTGTGTTTGTGGGCCATCTCTGACATGTTCTTTCATGCATGCCTGAAAAGAAAGCTTTATTAAAATATGCAAGACTATATTTTATTCAGAAGTGGTTTTTTAAAAATTCAATGTTGAAGTATCCTTCAATCTGGAAACTCTGGAGCCATTACAAGGCTTGTTGCATTCTTAGTTTCAAGTGAATACAAGTATCATCCCGCACGTTCTGCCCACCCCCCAGCTCCGCACATTCGGGATCCCCCCTAGTTCAGTGCATGGAGCTCTGTCCAGCTGGAGAGGGGTTGCACGAGCGCCTGTTCTGCCCTCAGCCTCACCAAGCCTTTGTGCAGCTCTCCCAAGGCACCTCCGCCGCAGCCATGCTCCGAACTTCCAAACTCCAAAACTCGGGGCTGAGTCTTCCAGCATCGGCTGCTCTAGGAGTGCTCTCTATGGTGGGCCGGCTGCTGGAAGACACTCTGTCTGGAAGACTCTCTGTGAGGCTATGGAAGAGCTGTGGTCTGAAGTGCAGATGGGCAAGGGGTGTTACTGAGTATGAGATCCCTTCTCCTTGGGAGAAAAATACAGTGGGGAGCAACTTAATTGGAGTAACTTGTGACCTATCCTGCTGACATCTCCATTGGCTTTGCTTGTCTGAAGCCCGCAGGGTAAATTGCAAATGGCAATCTTGTGAGTGGCTCACTGCATGAATTGGGCACCTGTGGGAGCACTGCAACAGCCAGAACTAGAATAATTGTTAAGTCCATTTTTTCCCGTGCTATTGTAACTTTGAATAACCTGTAAAAAAAATGGACATAAGCTGAGTACTATATGTATTTGAAAATGATGCCAGGGATGGAGAATCATGGCAATGCTTATTTCACTCAAATAGGTTTCTCTGTTGCAGCACACCCTGAATGTCTGAAAAAACTGCATCTCCTAGGAACTATACAATTATGTGTATTTGCGTTATCTCAAATATGGAGGGGTTAGCATTTAAAGGATAAGCAGCAGTAGCTACAGCTATGATTCTTCCAGTATGCTAAGCCAGTATGCTAAGTTACTTACTCCTAATTTTTCTTGTGAATGTTCCTTTTCATCCATTTGCTGAAGACTCTTTAAATCTTTGATAAACTGAACTGCATTCTTGAGACAGGATATTTTTTCTTTTAGTTTACTGTGTTCTTTATTTAGTTTCTTCAGTTCTGGTTCATTTCTAGCAAAAATAAATGTTGAGCATTATGTTTTGATAAGATTTCCTTTTATTTTACAGAAAACTGTTTACATAACTGAATCTAAAGGAACAAGAGTGATAAGCTAAACAATCACACAGCAAGAGGATCATCAGTTCTTGATTCAGACCTGATAAAAATAAGGGGGGACATCAACTGTTACTGCATCAATATAAAATCTAATTGGAAACCTGCTTCATAAGCCAGGGTGGCAACTCTTTGGTAGTCATCTTTTTTTCTTCATTGGTTGAAGAACATAGGACAGTCTTGGTGACATTGGAATGGGCAGGCAGAGGTTTTGGGTCTTTTGCAGTGTGTGATACCATATTTTAGCAGTACAATTTCAGATAGTTAGGGTGTATGTTTGGAATTTGAACTTTATTTAGTGTATGTCACGTGTTAGGCAGGGATCACCAAGGTGGCTGCCTGCCTCTGTGAAAAGAATTTCACAGTGCTATCTTTACCCGCGGGTCACCTGAATACCAGTAGGCGTCGGAGGAGGCTCCTTTCTTGTCCCTTCTGCAGTTTATTCACTCACGGGAATCAAACCGCCAAGCTGCTGACCTCACCGGTGTGCAGGCCCAGCGCCTTATCACATGAGCCACCATGGCCCTTATTTATTTCTCTGAGATCTATTATTATGTTTGTGTTAATTTCACTACAATCTTTTGTTTTCAATGTTATGGTACAGATACTTGCAAGCAGTATCTCTGCTGTATGAAATTAGTCTTTAGTTTCATTTTTCATCCAGCCAAAATCACAGCAAGAGTTTGCATTTCTACATGCATTTAGGAAGATTATTATGATTATCTGAGTATGAGCAATCTGATAGCTTCTATAGTCAATGTGCAAAAAGCTGCATAGACCTAACAGAAATGATTGAGGTCAACAGATGCCAACAAGTTATCTATTTCAAAAAGTGGGTTAATAAGGCAAATCAATATTTTCTTAGATATCGTTATTATTTTATTCTTGCAAAATAATGGAAATAAATCTAGAAATAATATTGCAATGGAAAGGAATGAATATGGCCAAATGAGAAACTATACTGTTTGAAACCTATTTGGATGAAGGATCTGGAATTTAGTTAATGCTCCTCTTTTAGTTTTGAAAAAAATCTTTACCCTATTCATAAATGTATAGTTTCAGTTCTCTGATGCATTTGATTTGGAGCAGCATAGTTAGAGCTCTAAGTATATATTTTGAGCAAAAAGAACGTTGGTCTTACCTGAACGTGTCTTTTCAGGGGAAGAGAGGGAGGGGTTACGCATGGGTATTCTCAACGCCTGATTGGTTCAAAGACTGAGGGAAACTTCTTAAATCCTCCTTCCTTTCTCTTTATCTCCCAGTTTCCTTGAATGGGAAAACTGCACCTGTAATCAAATACAAGACACCTCGGGAACTTCCTGCCCCCCCCCCGGTCCACCCCACTCAAATTAGGGCGGGTTGTAACCCCTCCCTCTCTTCCCCTGAAAAGACACATTCAGGTAAGACCAACATTCTTTTTCCAGAGGAAGAGAGGGAGGGGTTACGTCTGGGACATACCCAAGCTTAGTCCCAGGGAGGGATACCCAAGGGGAGAGTCAGCTGCCACCCTCTGCAGGACCCTACGTCCAAAGGCAGCATCCACTGAGGCGAATGCGTCCAACCTATAATGATGGATGAAGGGTGTCAGTGACACCCGTAGCTCCAAAATACGCCTGGCAGATGTAACGGCCACCAGAAACGCCACCTTAAGGGACAAGAAACTAAGATGGACCGTACAAAGGGGTTCAAATGGAGCCCCCGTCTAGGCCCTGAGGACCAGAGGGAGATCCCAGGTCGGAAATGTATGGGGGGGGGGGCTGAGATTTGTTGCCCCCTTCAGAAAGCACTTGATCAGGGGATGGTGGAAGAGGGAAGACAAGCCCACCCCCCCAGGACGGAGGACAACGCCACCACTTGCCAGCATAAGGTGTTGTGTGACAGACTGCCATCCAGTCCCTTCTGCAGGAAATCCAGGACGTTGGGAATCATAGCCTTGGCTGGACAGATAGCCAATGGGGAGCACCATCTGACAAAGGCTGTCCAGGTGGAGTTATAGATTCGAGTGGTTGACGGTCGCCTAGAGGCTTCAATGGTTTGTATGACTTTGGAGGAGAGGTTAGTCTTCCTCAGGAGTCACCGCTCAAGTGCCAGGAGGCCAGATGGAGCCACTGAGGCTCTGGGTGGATCAGGACCCCCTGGCACAAGACGATCTCCCAAGGAATCCTCCATGGCTGGGAAACCGAAAGTTGTATCAGATCCGCAAACCAGGGTCTCCTGGCCAATAAGGGGCCAGCATGATGACTTGAGCCCTCTCTGTAACTACCTTCCTGAGGACTGCTGGGATAAGGGGTATGGGAGGGAAGGCATAGAGGAAACCCAGAGGCCACCTGCTCCAGAGGCCATCCGTGCCCTCTGCGTCCTGGGTTTGGGGTGGCAAACAGGTCCACCCGCGGGGAGCCGAACCTCTGGCATATCTCCTGAAGTAGGGCGGGATGGAGCTGCCACTCGCCATTGTCGACAGTCGCCCAGCTCAGCCAGTCCACTTGGTGATTGGCCTCATCCGATATGTATTCTGACACCAGCGAAGCCAGATCCGCCCAAGAGCCAATCCTCAGAGCCTCTAGCCAGAGGGCTTGAGAATGTGTGTCCCCCTGACGGTTTATGTGGGCCTTTGTGGCGACATTGTCAGGAGGAGTACATGGCGCCCCCTCACTGAATCCTTGACATGATGGAGAGCCTTCAGCTCCAACCAACTGGTATTGTGTTGGAGGTCTGAGACAGTCCAGTGGCCCTGAGCTAGCTTAGAGCCCATCAGGGTCCCCCAACTGAATAAGCTCGCATCGGTTGTGACAGTCACTCTGTCCGGCTCCCCAAATGAGCAGCCCCGCTGCAAAGCTGGGGAGAGCTACCACAGGAGGGATACCCAGACCTCTGCTGGGAGGCGAAGGGTCCAGAGGGAGTTGCTCATTTTACTCTTCTGAAATGGGATGAGCGCCCATTGGAGGGGACGCAGGTGAAACCGGACCCACAGGACTATCCCGATGCATGAAACCATCTTGCCAAGTAACTGATGGACTTCTGTGAACTTAGCTTGCCAGCCGGTGAAGACTGGCCAATCGATCCGGGGAAAGGCTGACTATCCCCGACACCGAATCTATGACTGTCCCCAAGTGAAGGATTTGTGTGGATGGTGAGAGATGACTTTTGGGGAAGTTGACTGAAAACCCCAGGGACTGAAGGCACTGAATGGTGAGTTGAAGATCTGATACCGCCTCGGGAAGGGACCCCGCCTGGACAAGGACGTCTAAGTAGCATTGGAGTCTCACCGGGACCAAGTGGAGGTGAGCCGCCAATGTCGCCAGGACCTTCATGAATGTGCGAGGCGCTGAAGCCAACCGAAGGGGTGAGAGCCCTGTACTGATAGTGGAGGCCCCCCTGGTAGAATCTGTGATACCTGCGATGAGCTGGCAGAATTGGTATGTGAAGGTACTGTCAGGTCCACTGAAGCCAAGAAGTCCCCCCTCCGAATGCCCTGCAGGATGGATCTGAGGGAGGACATCTTGAACCACCTGTACACCAGGAAGTGGTTCAGCCACTTGAGGTCCAGGATCGCCATCCAGCCCCCCAAATTCTTTGGGACTACAAACAGGTTGGAGTAGCGGCCCCGCCCGCATTCCTTTGGTGGGACCGTCTCCACCGCCTGGATCTCGAGAAGATATTTTATGGCTAGATCCATCAGACGGCAGCATTCTGGGCTCCTCGAACGAGAGAACGTTCTGAAGAGATTTGGGAAGGTGGAGAGGAACTCCAACCTCAGACTGTGCCTGATGGTGGATCTGACCCAGGCGCCTGAGGTGATCTCGTCCCAATGATCCACGTAGTAGGACAGGCGGCCGCCTATGGGAAGACTTGGGTTCGAGTCATTTCTCCCTGTGGAAGGGACAACCGCCTCCGCCTCAAAAGGGCCGCCTACACTGGTTTTGGAACCTGTTACGGTCCTGATTGGACGAGCGAGAGAACTGCCTGTCCAATCTGAATGTATTGTATCTCTGCTGATGTTCATGCTTGTGAGCCCTGTAAGAGGACCTGCGATAAGGATGAGAACGAGACTCGGACATTTTAGCAGTGGAAAGGAGCACCTTCTTTTATCCTTATTTTTGTCCAAGATGGGATCTAAGGCCTCCCCAAAGAGGTTGGGACTGGTGAAGGGGGAAGCAGCCAGATTCCATTTTTCCTTATTATCTATCTGCCAGTTGTGAAGCCACAGCAACCGGCAAAAGATGACCGACGTAGCCAAGGTGCTGGAGGCAAACTTAATCGCGTCCAGCATTGCGTCAGCTGAAAACTGGCAAGCCATTATTTTAGTGATGTCTTGGTGCAGGTGATCCTCCTGGATCGGGATGCGATCCTGGAGCTGGCGGAGCCACATGATGGTTGTACGATTGAAATGAGGCTGCCGCTGTCAATTTGACGGCCCAGGCGGAGGCATTAAAGTTCTTATGTAAAGTAAGTTCCGCCCACTTGTCCTCCGGCTTCAGCTTGTCAGCAGCATCCCCTGAAACTACCGGGGAAGACGTGACCAGGGCAGCAACAGGGGTATAAAGGGAAAGGAAGGAGTATTTAAGAAGTTTAAGAAGTTTCCCTCAGTCTTTGGACCAATCAGGCTTTGAGAATACCCATGTGTAACCCCTCCCTCTCTTCCTCTGGAAACTTACCAGTACTGAAATCCATACTGGGGCATGGGAAAATGAATACATCACTAGATTGGCACAAAACAGGATTTTAGGATTCAGTGATAACTATCTAAAACTTAATTGCAAAGTTATTACAACATACCTAAATATTTCTCCTTTTATTTCTATTAAACGTTGTCTTGCCTTATTTGTCTTTCTGACCATCTGTAATGCCAGAAAATAAAATAAATATTACATATGAAAATCCTTAATACTTTATCACTGCCATTACCTCTCTAAAATACAGGTAATTCTTGACTTACGACTGGTCGCTTAGCCACCATTAAGTTTCAACAGACCTACTTAAGGGTTCTTATGATGTGAATTCAAAGTTCCAATAGTTCCTTACAGATGTGACTGCACAAGGAGCTCAGCAACCAGACCACATTTATGGCCATTTTCAACATCCCCTGGTCAAGGGGTCATGTTTTAAAATGATTTTGCCAAAAACTGCATTTATTTATAGTTTTCAGCAAAACTTCACCCATACTAAACCATTGGTTCACTTTACACCTGTGCTGTTTGCTTAATGACAACAGTGATTCGCTTAACAAGTGTTACAATGGCACTGAAAAAAGTGACTTATGACTGTTTTTCGCATACTTATCCAAGAGCTGTGGTGGTGCAGTGGTTAGAATGAAGTATTGTAGGCTAATTCTGCTGACTGTCAGCTGCCAGAAGTTTGCAGTTTGAATCTCACTTGCTCAAGGTTGACTCAGTCTTCCATCATTCAGAATTCGGTAAAAAGAGGACCCAAATTGTTGGGGGCAATATGCTGACTTAAACTGCTTAGAGAGGGCTGTAAAGCTCTGTGAAGCAGTATATAAGTCTAAGTGCTATTGCTATCACATGATCAAAATTAAGATGCTTGGCAATTGACTCATATTTATAATGGCTGCAGTGTCCTGGGGTCATGTGATCACTTTTGCGACCTTCTGGCAAGCAAAAGCCAGATTCACTTAACAACCTGTTACTAACAATTGCAGTGATTCATTTAACTGGGGCAAGAAAAGTCATAAAATGGGGCAAAACAACTTAATGAAGTTTCACTTAGCAACATAAATTTTGGCTCAATTGTGGTCATAAGTCATGTATATGTATACACATATAGAACTTAGTATGCATAAAACCTTCAATTTGTATTTGTCAAACTCAAAGACAGAATATTTTCTATTCTTGCTCCTAATTTGAATTAATGAAATTTTATATTATTATTACATCGTATTTCTTTAAATAGTGTCCACTAAAAGCTAGTTTAATCTATTGGAAGAAAATCTATACAGTTTAAAAGACGATGCACTGGCTAGTTTACCTTTGCTTGTTTCAATTTTGTATTTTTCACTTTCTCAGCATCTGCAGACTAATTAAAATATTCAAAATTAAAGATATGGCATAACTTAGTAAATAATTACGGTTCCACCACAAAACCGCGGAGGACAAAATCGCGCTCGACGAAAGCGCGCATTTGACGTCATCACAGCGTGACGAAAACATCGCGCTGTGATCGAAAAATGTAAAAATAAAGCGAAAACCTTACCCTAACCCCCCCAAACCTAACCCTAACCCCCCCAAACCTAACCCTAAACCTAACCCTAAACCTAACCCTTAACCTAACCCTAAATCTAAT